ATAACTAAATCGTACTTAATTTTGAGTAAAAAATCGTGAATGTTTTACAAAAAGGAACAAGGATTAATGGTCGGGCAGAAGAAATAATTGGTTATTTAAAGGTGGGAAAGATGACTATTGGAGAAAAGAAATTTTTCGTCAAATTTCTGCTTTTAATGCACGTGTAGAAAATAGAGCATTCAGGTAGATAATAGAACGCTCGTAAAATTAGAATGTATAATTGAGATTGAGGATATAGATTGAGAGGATTTTAGAGCATTTTCTCATTATTTTATTTGCTTATAGAGTTCATAATTACATGACATAAACAATATGTGCTAGTTGTTGTCTAAAATTTATGATAATAAAAAATGTAATTGATTAAATTTTTAAGACATAAGATTTAAATTGAATTATTTTATTGATTCAAATCAAAGTTTAATAACTTTATCAGATAATTTTTATAATTTGGTGATCTTTTAAGATATTAACTCTTTTGTTTTTATGGGTGTACGAGTTCAAGAAACCAAAATAATAATTCTCTTTGACAGCAGTATTTTTTTCTCTCACGATTCTTCTGTGTTATTTTTTTAACATGCACGGCCAATGCTGAATGCAATATATGAGTATCCAGAAATAAATTTTTCCTACATTAATTAACTTTAAGAAATATATATAGACAGTGCACTAGTATGGTTTGTTACAGAATACAGATGTAATGCTCAATACCTGAATTCAGACATGACACAGGTTGGAGTTGTTTAATAGTAAATTATCTAAACACATCCAGCATTAACTGAAAATATTCACAATTCAATATTTGTTTTGAAAAGCTAAAGGAGTGTTCACTCTTTTAGCTTCTGCGAACCATACATGAAGTCATCAATGGCAGGGGCACTAAAATTCTGCCTTGTAGTCTGCCCCAATGGCATAGTCATGCTCACAATTGTGCTTTCCTGGGAAAATATACTCTTCCATTTAAGGGTTGCATCTCGCTAAACACTAGCGATCCACTACAATGATCTACTCGGACAGGGAACCGACCCACCAACCATTGACTAGATCAATTCCAGGCTACTCTCTACTCAAAGGCAAGTAAATATAGAACATGGTTCATTGGTCCCATTTCTAAAAGTGTGATCTTTGTATTCAGACAAGGCATATAGATAGTACACTAGTATTGTTTGTTACAGAATACAGGCTGCGTAGTGATATGCATTTAGTAAAAGAACAAGCAGAATCACTCTCATAGCAAGGCAGGGTCTATCCAAGTGTATATTTTCCTGAATTACTGCTTCAGGTCAAGTAAATTGCTAACAGATTAAGTCACTGAAGGAACGGTTCCTTTCCCATCTCCGAAGTGGTCGACACACACCAGAAATGGCTAGCCACAAAATCGTTAGTATTTTAGAGTAGTAGATGCAGAACAAAAAACAGAACCTAATTTCCAAAGTACAATTGTATTTCTAGCAATGGAGGAGTGCTGCAATTTTAAACTCCAGTAAGCAACATCGACCAAATTAAACAGGCACTACGGACTCGAATGTCAGAACCCTGATCTAAACGCCTGGCATTACATAATCACTGCAAGGAGTATCATGCAATGCTAGCACAAATCCATAACAAAAAGATGCTACATCAATGAACTGATAAGTTTCTATTCTAGCATTCTTCTGCTACTCAAGTTTATACCAAGATGGAAGGGAAAGGCATATTGCAAGCTCACTATATATGTGAAATTAGCTAATGCATTCTGCAATTCAATGCTGCAAAATATTCACCAAAAAAGGGAACTTTATCACACACCTAAGATTAATCTAGCATTCAGGAGTTGGCATTCTCTTGGCCTTCTTATATTTCTTCTCTGATAACGCCTGAGCAAACGCCTCCACAACCCTTTGCTGTGACTCGAGTATCATCTCAGTTCTTTTCATCTCCATTTCCATTCTCATCCGTTCCAACTCTCTTGCCGCGTCCATCTTCATCCTCTCCATTCGGACGAATCCATCACCTAATACCTTTATCGCAGCCACCATTTCCACCATGGGATCCTCCTTTTTCTTCTCCCTCACTCCTTCACCAACAACCCTTTTCCCCAAATCAGCTTTCTTCACGAATCCATCCCTGAACATCTGACTAGACCCAAAATTACTAGGGGTTTCAACTCGAGCCTCCTCAAATCTACTATACGGTTTCGCCATTGGAGGAGCTAACCCGGGCATCCCAGGTATCCGGATCCTAAACCCGCCTCCTCCATTACTCACAACCCCTTGGAAACTACTCCGATTACCCGCATGCACATTGTTACCATACAAATCCCCAACAAGTTTAACGCCGTTTTGATGGTAATCTTCTACATCCTCATCAGCTTCATCCTCACTGGGCGGCGGAGAAACAGCATTAGGACCTCTCTCCATCATATCCATACGCTTAAAATGCACCCAAGCAGAGCAATAACGATGAGATCGAGGCCCACCATACGGAGCAGCACGCTGGATTTCAGCACGATAACGTTTCCGAAGCTTCTCCATCTTATGCCGGCATTGCACAGCGGTCTTCGGTGGATCAACAGGGCATCTAGAACCAACATCATCAGCAACCTCCTGCCAATGATTCGCCCGTAGATTCCCCTTCCTTAGAGAATACCACTTATCCCTATAAGCATCAATGAGCGCTATTGTCTCGTCATGTGACCAACACGGCGGCGGAAGGCGTCGAGAAGGCACCGCAACTGTAACGTTGGATGAAGACAGAATCTGTGATGGGTTGGTCGAAAAATCTCGAGTTGATGGAGAAAAAGTCGCCATTGTTGTGGGTATTACAGAATAATATCGAATCTCTCAAAATCAGTAAACACCCAGAATTAGTTAACCGGTTCAGATTTATAATAGAAAAAGAGAAGAAGGAAAAGGGGTTGTGGCTGTGGTGGTGGTTGGTGGCGGCGGAGGAAAACGGAGGCATAATGAAAAAAATGTTTAGGTTAAAAGGGAGGGGGGGAGATCTAGAGAGAGAGAGAGAGGAGGCCACCGCTAAAGGGGGTTTGTGGCTAACGTGCGCGGAGGGCGTAATAATGTTGACCGAGTAGTGCTTGCTGCGTTCGGCGCCCACCGGCCAACAAGGCGTCAGGTGGCAGAGGCGCTTGTGGTGTGGCCTAAAAAGATTAAATTTTATGGGCTTTTGAGCGTTTCTTGTGGGCGGAGGCGACAAACTCTTTTCGTTCTTTCTTTATAGTTACGTAATATAACATGTTGATCACTTTAAGCTAAAGTTTGCCGGCTATACTTTATTTTACTATATATAAAATTGAATAAAAATAGTTTAATCTAAAATATCAGTCAATATTTGTATCTATTAAAACTTAGTTTGTAAAAGATGCTCCTATTTTTTTTTTAATGTTTTTTACGATAAAAAATCACTTATTTTATAGTTAGTTAAATTCTTTTATCGATATTTTTTATCGTTACACTTTATATATAAAATGGGAAAGACTCAAATATATCATTAAATTTCGAGAAAAAAATTATTCATGTCCTTCATTAAAAATTTAGCTCTTCTTTGTTATTTTCATTTAAAAAAAAGTTTATTCATGCTATGATTCGTTTAAAAAAAATAGAATTGATTTTTCACACGTGATCAAGTATGATGCAATCAAATTATTTTTTGAAGAAAAAGGCTTAAATATGTTGTCCAACTTTGAGAAAAGGCTCATTTATATCACTCATTAAAAGTTTGGTTCACTTGTGTCATTTTAATCAACAAATAATTGTATAAATGAGTTTTCTCTGAAATAGAAATGACATAGATGAGTTTTTTCTCAAAGTTTAATGGCATATTTAAGTTTTTTCCTTAAATAAAATAATACAACTAATATGTCCGTCAAAACAAAAATCTCACATTGTTAGCTTTTGAAACGAGCTCTTTATAAGTTTGAACAATCCTTTTTCCTTTGAACTAATTTTTAAAGTGTGAGTTAGGCCTAAAACCTAATTTAATATGGTAGGCCAAAAACATTATTTAACATGGTATCAGACCAGAAACCGTCTCCCCCAATGTTGGGCCCAAAAAAATTGAAATTGCCCAAAAAAACCTACGCACCAAATATTCATTGTCCCTTTGAGCTAGCTTTTGAGATTTGAGTTGGATGGCTAACTAATAATGTTACTATAGAATGTGTTTATTCTAGTTTTGAAAAGTTCCAAACAAATATATTATTGGATAAAAACATAAATTTCCCCTTAAACTTATCCCTAAAAGTCAATTACACGTTTAAACCATCACATTGATATATTACACACCTATATTATTCAAAAGTGAATTTTATAACACCCTAAAATTGATGTGGCAAAAATAAAAAAATAAAATAGGCGCGTCAGCTTGAAAAAATAGTAAGAAAAAAATGTTATAATTCTCTTTTCTGCCCCCACACCTACACCTCTTCTTCTTCACACTCCACCCATTGTCTTTTCTTTCTTATTCTTTATTCTATCACACTTTTTTATTTTTTTATCACAATCTAATAGCACAATTTTTTTTAGTTAATTTTCATAGATTTGTTAGTTAATTGTATTTTTTAATTATTAAAAAATTAAAAAAGTCAATTTGAGATTAATTAGAGCAAAATATAGTTAATACAAGAAAAATTAATAAATAAAATAAATATAATTTATGACGTGGCAGTGAGTGTACTACACCACATAACGTGAGAGTGTTATTACACGTTTTAGGGTGGAAATAAATTTACTTTTGAATAATATAAATGTGTAATAGATCATGAATTTATGCTTTTTCCCTATATTATTTTAATGCATTGTTTTGAATTGTGACTTACCATCAAAGAAAAATCATAAATTTTTTACTATTTATTGTTGGATCTGAAGATATTAGATGTTGGTCATTTTATTAAATTTGGTTAAGAAAACAAACAGATAGCACGTTTATCATTAAGAAATCAATTAACAGTTGCTATACTAATTTATAAATTGAAATTCACAAATCATAATCTAAAATTATACTCCTATTAATCTCTTTCATAATAATGTTCATATAATAATATTAGGCGAAATATTTTTATATATTTAACATACTTTGGTTTGCTCTGAAAACAACCTTTGTATACAGAGGTAAACCTGAAGTGTTACGTTAAACATAAATAAATTCTAAATTCGCCTCCGCGATACATAGTTAAATCCTATAACTCTCCGGAATACAGAGCTAAGAACAAAATTCAAATATATAATCCTTCAAGGTTGGTTAACTAGTGAAGGATCAGCAGATGTAATTTTGTGTGGATGCAAATAATCTGCAGAACGTGAGATGTTCAGAGCAAAGACGAGTAAGAATGGTATGCCTACACAAAGATAATAGCAGAAGTATGTTGGCAACTTGATCATTAGGCAACTGATGTACGTTATCCCAATTGCAAACACACAGAATATCAGCTCAAGTCTCATGGGAAATGCCCTCGTAACGATGTGGAACACGTGGAGGCTGATGAAGAACCCGAGTGAGTTGAAAAACAAGAATATGTGTGATGAATAGTGAATCAGGTGATCAGCTTCGATTTGGTAACTGGGCTGTTGCTGTTGTTGTAAGTTGCCTGGAGGATTAAGAGCAGCTTGAAATGTGAGCATAGCTATGAGCATCATGATCACAACTAGTACTTCTCTTATAGATTCTATGCTATCTCTATCTCTGTCGTACTTTAGGAAGTCTACTAACCACCCACTCTTAGTCTTTCGTCTAGGCATTACCTGTTTGAGACGTAGTAATTAAGTGAATAAAAGTGTGTTTTCTCTAACAGATCACGTACTTGGTGAATGATAAAGAATCGGTCCCCTCAAGTGATGAGGGGGTGTTTTCGAGACATATATGTAAGACATTACCTCCCCATGTTGTCTGTTAGATGCACGAATTTGATTACATGACCTGATTGGTATTCCTACCATGTCTGTGGCCTTAAGGGCTCCTGCTTGTCGAAGAATGTCTTCAATTTCCCTATCGCCAGCTTCACTTTGAGAAAGAAAAAAGACGTCAAGAGCTGTGAATCCCATTTGGTTCAAAGAATTCACTCCGACTGCCCAATTTGCTGGTAAGCTCCCATTCAGCAAGAGATCCACCACCTGAAATATCTATGGTTTCTTAGTGAAAATCCCGACTCTGCTATTTATATGGTAGTATAGAAACGAGTCGTGTAGACAAGAAAATTGAAGCAATATGCTAGCAACTGGCTAATATAATATCTACGTACCTCGTGCTGTTTCCTTGCTGCTGCAAGGTGCAAGACACTATTTCCTAGCTCATCCTGTTTGTTAAAGACATCCATCTTATTGAACATCTTGATGTGCTTGATCAACACTTCCAAAGCTTCAAACTGACCGCTCTTGACAGCAAGGTGGAGCACGGTTTCCCCTCGAGAAGTCACAACTTCAACAGATTCAACACAAGCAGAGAGCAACTCTTTCATGACATCAACTCTGCCTTTGATAACAGCAGAATGAAGAGGAATTCTTCTCTCCCTGCCCTTCACAAGGCACAAACCAATGTCCACTTGTAAAATCTCCTTGACAATGTGTAAGTCCCCATTCGCAGCAGCAATATGCAAGCAACTGAAACCATTCTGACTTAGCTCCCCTGCACGTTCTTTCCTCAACTTGAGAAGCTCCTTCACAAAATTGAAGTGGCCACCCAAACAAGCAAGGTGCAAGGGGGAATCACCATCAACTAAGCCAACACGGCGAACAATAATAGGATCAGATCTTAATAGCTCCATCAGAACATCAACGCTCCCTGTTCGTGATGCATGAAATAGCCTATTATCCATTCTAAGTTTTGCTAACTCAAAGCTATGACAAGTTTCAACGTTTAGTGCCTCGAATGCTCAAGCACTCTTATGCTTATATATATATATATATATAGTAAGTACCAAAAAACTAAATAGTTTTGTTTTTCACTGTGGTTTACTTAGTCAAACTTCTGAGAAGCCAAAAACACTTACTTTAGAGAGTTGTGTGTTTAAAGCACTGAAAACTAATCATTTTTCAGTAGTAAAACAAAAGTTGCTATCCAAAAACTGGAGAGAAAAAAAACACTCTCCCTAAAGCACTATTGGAGCATTGGTCAAGCAATCGACAAATATACTTTTCTCAAATTGATTAGGCAAACACAAACGATTATCCAAAAAAAAAAAAAAACACTTTAACACGAAATATTTTTAAGTTCGAGTCAACCGAGTTACCAACTTTTGCCAGTTGGACTTGATATAGGTCAAAATTTCCTTGCACGTTTTCTGAAATTTATACCATAAGATTTTTTTCGTTTGATTGAATCGTACGTGACTTATAACTAGTACTATTATATAATTAAGCTTGATCGTGAAAGTCATTGAGTAATTGTCATTATTCTACTTCCCACTAAATACGCCAAGACTTCCAAGTCCAGTAAAGATTGAAATAAAAAAAGAGTAATAATAGAGCACAACTTGCATCTTTTGTCAGTACTACTGAGTCATTCTTCTAGGTAGGTTCCTACTTACCAAATATTGAGTGCAAACAAAACAAGCTGATACAACACAAAGCAAAATCAGCTATAGCTTTCATCATTTATCATCATGACACTGATTATGTATCCAAATCTAAGTTTGCGCTCGAAATCACGGTACAGGAACATTGTTCCAAACCGGAGCAAGACTGCAACTATAACATTAAAATCAGTTAACAAAATGCTCAAACATCTGGTGCCATTAGTTGCTTAGTTTTAACACTTCATCATTCTACAAGGAACAAAGACCAGCAGTTTCATGAACCGTTATAGTTCCCTCTTTACAGTAAAACTAAGAAAAGTACCACTTGCATCTTTAGTAAAAACTCTACACTGAAACCCCCTTGATAACTTCAAAGATAGCAGAGACGCATCCTGTAATGAAGAAACAGAACAAACGAGTGCAGCACAGTGCAACTCTTCAGATCGCCATGTCCTCACGCTTATAAGAATGAAGTATCTCAATAAAAATCAACTTCAGCATAAGCTGTCAGGAATAATGTAATGTTGATGTCATGAAAGAGTACATTATCTCCACTGTGAATTCTCTGTGCACAAGTCTTGTTCATAGCAGCTCAAAATCCAAGGACTACAGCAACAAAATGAAGCACCAAGACTTGTGCACAGAGAATTCACAATGATGGGGTTCGCAAACACACATCAGAAATCAATTTCTTTCTTTCCTTTTAAGAATAAGTTGGTTTTGTAAATTGAGCAACTGACATACAACTCTCTTCCTTTTGCTTCAGGATTACATCATCTCCAAGCATATCTAACCGGATACTTATTTTCCCTTCGCTACAATCATAATCTCACATCTTCAAAAGCAATGTTAATTATATTTCAGAATGTGTGTCAATCCATTGACTAAAACAGAATACCAGATACTTTGATCACTTAAACGAATCTCTTTTTGACACAATGCATTCTTGTGAGAAAAATATCAGACAACTGGACATAATGCTGTCAAAAACTATCCTAAAGGGATCTTAACCAGATAGTAGGTAACTTGCACTTCCATGAACCATTGCCCTTGAAATAATCATGCAGGATACCCCCCCTATTATTCCAGTAAATTCTTACATGGAGATACCATAACAAAATATTCCATTGTTTAAACAGCTGAGTGTCAGTGTACTCTAAAAAGCTCATTATTCCTTACAGCAGGAAAGGACCAGATGTCTCTTTTCCCCACACTAGAATCCAACATGCTCTGGAGCAATACAACCTAAAACTAAGACACTCTCACCCTATTTAAATAATGAGGTAATTAACAGATCAACTCCAGCTTCTTCTGGTGGGATCCAATTGCACAAGGAGCTTCCAGCTATACACATCCAGTTGCAATCTTTTTGTCCAACTCAAATCTGTACCATAAACAAATTTGTGGTGACCAAAAGTTCCTCATCTTCCACTGCAACTCTTATTAGAAGAAACACAAGTATAAACTTTGTAACTCCATCTTCCCCACAACTTAACAGGGAAAAAGAATTGCTAATTCAGTAAAAAGATACTCTGGACACGAGAACAAAATAAACATCAAATAACACAAGCTTTTAACATGTGACGTACCTTAGTAATAAGATCCAGAATCACCACTGCCCATATAACCACTACCACCCATGCTACGGCTGGAATAGGCTGATGAATAAGAGCTACCAGCAACCTGAAAATTTCAACAGAGTAACATAAATACAGTGGTGCGCAATCAAAACTGAAGCTCCAGACAAATAATTGTAAAAATAAAGTATACATCATTGCTACGAGACATGTAATCGCCACCATAGCCAGATGAATACATTCCACTGACACCACTGCCATCATAGGAGCCTGTAAACCCCCAAAAAGAAGTTACGACAGATGTCCAAAGTCGAAAAATATAACACCTACAGTTCACATGAGCCCCAGATTTTTCAAAGAACACTAAGAACTCACCTCCACCATAGCCTCCTTGACGACTGCTATACATTCCATGAGAATCTTGACCAGAAAGGGAACTCCGGCTGCCACTATATCCAGCATTTGATCTCCCTAGCCTACTGCTATTCAGGAAAAAAGTCAGTATAACACTAGAATTGCAAGGGATATAACTATCATCTCAATAGAAAAACAGCATACCTGTCACTGTAATCCCCATATTGTGCGCCACTAGCATCACCAAGTTCATAATCCAAACGAGCACGAGAAGGGCGGGGTCCTGCATCAGCATAGCGGGGAGGAACATCATCCTGACATGTGGACACACTAAATTAGATCTTACATCTTATGTAGATCAAGAATGTTACAAACATCAAAATATCCCACTGCATTAAGTAAATCTCACACACTGGCTAAGACTACATACCATTGCACTGTATGAACGTTTGGAGCCCGACGTGGAGTCATATTCCCTACCTCTGCCCTCACGATACGCAGGAGGAGGCCTTTCATACCGCTGTTCATAATCATCATCAACATAAGTTCTCCTTGTCGTTGTGCGAGCAGTACCTCTAGGAAAATCAGAGTATGCCGAGCTACGAGAGGAATAGTCATCCCTGTAGGAAACACGTCTGTCGGAAGGAAACCTAGAAGGATAATCCACTGTGGATCTGCTTCTAGGAGGAGGAATTTCCTCATGTCGTGCATACTCCCTCTTCAAGTTACTCTTTGAATATGAAGGAACTGCAATTCAATTTTAGTCACTAGAAAGAAAATAGTGTGGAAGCAGCAGGGCAAAACAAAAGTTCAGAACTGATCCATACCAGGTGGCCTCCTGTCATAGGACCTGCTGGATAGTGGAGACATAGGTCTGCCCCTAGGGGCCATAACTGGTCGCCTATCCCTCATTGTGACAGGTCGTTTAAAACTACGATCCCCAAGTGGAGGGACACGTGAACCAACTCTAGATCCACGAACAGGGAGTCGGCGAGAGACTGGACGACCCCAAGGAGCAGGGGGGCCACGCATCATCCCACGTCTAGGTCGCAGATCACGCGCACCATATCTCCCTCTTCCCCTCTGAAGTGGTCGTGATAATCTGGCCCTAACTTTGACCTGGAATATACAACTATAAGCACGCACGCACAAGAAGGACATGTTCAGATAAGATTCAAGACAAAAAAGACGGACCTTCTTATCTCCTTCCCCCAACTCTTCATTATTAATGCTCTTGACACAAATGACTGCAGCATCATGAGTGTCGAAGGAGACGAATCCAAAATCCTTTCTCTTGGCAGAAGGCATATTACGAGCAAGCTCAATTTTTTCAATCTTGCCATATTGTTTAAGTAAATCTCGCACGCGATCCTCATCCCAAGATGCAGATAGACCATCAATAAAAATTGTTTTAACCTGAAATTAATAGACATCAATTGTCAAATAATGATTTGATGCACTGCAAGATCTACATTGGACCTACAAAGTCATCCGAAGAGCACCTTCATGGAAAAAAATCACTTAGCTTACTCTATCCCCCCCCCTCCCCCGCCCGGACCAAGAACGGCAAAAAGAAAATATGAAGAATCTTAGACTGGTACCACCGTTATCCAGTCTAACTGAAGTAGCAGTAAATACAACCAATAGCCACACCCATCTTTCTTTCCTGTTGAAGCATAAGGTACTAAAATAAGAAGGTAGGAAGCAAACCATCAAAGGATATACTACTTCAGTAACAAGTTCAAAATTAGTATATACCAAATAGTCCACCGCAAAATGACAGCTCCTCCAATAAGCTAAGTGTAACCAACTCCATTTGGAAAACATATTAGCCAAACTTGGCCAGAGCCGCAGTCCTTTTCAAAAACAGATAAATGGTTCCGAAGAGCTTACCTGTGCCATAATTTCATCTCCAGGGTCAATGAATGAATCTGCAAAAGAAACCTTTGCAGGCCTATCAACTCCAAACACAATATCTCTCTTCTGTAGACGTTTGAAAGCATCCATGGCCTCTGAGCGTGACGGGAACTCCAAAAAAGCAAATCCCCGATTCATTCCTTCATTATTAGTGTCTTCAACTAATGTCAAATCCTCAACATTATCAATGCCATAATGCTTCAACTTCTCTTTTAACTGGAGTGAAAGTAAACATATATCAGACAGCAGTTAAGCAGCTCTTAGAGCTTAAGAAGTCGATGTTTCATGACCATATGTATTTGCTTGTGTCTACTTACAGCTTCTTTTGTCCAGGATTTGCATATGTTGCCCAAGAATAGGGTATCACTATCTTGACTTGGGGAAACACCACATTTCTTGCCATTCACCTGGAAGTTGGTATGTTAGGAAACAAGCTTTATCAAGTAATGAACATCAGGCGCTCTGATAACTACAGAATCAAGAGAGTACCACTGGATTTTTCAGCTCAATACAAGCTCGTTTAGCTTGTTCCACTGTTGCAAAACGCAGGAATGCAAATCCTTTATTCTTCTTAGTCAGAGGATTCATCAAGAGTCTCACTTCCGTTACCTCACCAACTTGACTGAAAATTTTCCTGAGGTCATCCTCAACAGCATCCTTGTCCAAGCCACCAATAAAAATTTCGAATTCCTTCCTCTTAAGTCTTTCTTTAGCAACTTCGTGATGTTCTGCATCCTCAGCTGCATCAACCATCTCAGCATGCTCATGTTCCTCCCCAGATGCACGCTCATTTTCTTCCTCACCCTCAATTTCCTCATGCTCTTCAACCATATCACCCCCCTCCTCTTCACCATCATCTCCCTCTTGCGGATCATCCTCTATTTCATAATCCTCTTCCTGAACATCCTCATGTTCAATTCCTCTCTCATCATAATCAACACCACCATACTCTTCAGGCTCAAATTCAGGATCATTATCCTCCAAATCTAATCGCTCGCCTTTTTCATATTCATCAACTGACTCCTTCACATCGTCCTCTGCCATTAAAAATAGCCATCCAGGCCCATAAATAAACTGAAAATAGAAGGGTCTAACCCCTTGACCCATGTAACCAGATTTATGGTAAATCTTTTAAGTTGTCAACAACTTGAAACTATCCATAGAAATAAAATTGATATCTTGATCAAGAAAACATGATCCAAAAGAGGGTTGCAACCATGGAAAGGGAAATATGTCAAAATAAAGATTCTTATTTCAAGGTCAGCAGAGCTTAATCACCCTTGTCACTGTAACCCTCCTTTGTAGTTTCTCCTTCATTGAAGGATGAACAACAATTTAATCCATCTCCAAATTATGACTGAATCCTGAAGCTACACTTCCTCTATAGTTTTCTATAATTACAAATTGATTCCAAACCTTTCCCTCATAAAGGTGGAGGACACATATGGTTTTACCGCTGTATGTGCCTAGAGCTTAAGTAGGTAAATCTATTTTCCCGTCAACGATTTATCATATAAAATTGAATGAATAATAGAATCAACAAAAACATGTTATGGGAATAAATATCACTATAAATGGCTAATCATCATCATTCATTGATTTGCTATTTCATTGTTTTCTTCATACAGCTACATGCTCTAACCAAGAACCACCAAAGCAGAAATTGCTAATTGGGACAAACATATATCAATTAATTCTCAGCAGGTCATATCGTGTAATTTATATACAACTCTTTTGTCATCCCATGTTCATCCTATCTTGGATAATCTTCTATTATAGTTCGATTAGTTCTAGTGTACGCACCGACAAAACCTCACCCATAAAACCAACTGTTTTTTGTACCTATACTACAATAATGTTTGATAATATATTTTCTGTAATTTCTTACCCAACGAGAATTTGAACTAATATAACAGAGAAGAGTCCAAACATTATTTATAGTGATTAAGCAACAAGAATTCAAATTACTATATCAGAAAAGACACCTAATAATTCAATATTCTTCACTACTGAAATTTAATTAACCAACAAGATATCTAATTAATATAATATCAACAAGTAAGATATAAACAAGCTGGCCAGAAAATTATCAACAAAGATCATATGACACCAACTTATAAGAAAACAATTAAACTTACTCTTCTCAGCAACAACCCGATTCTCCACAGATTTCACTGGTTTCTCGGGCTCGGCTTTTCGGTCAGCTACCGGTTTTGATTCTTGTTTGACCTCCACCTTCTTCTTCTCCTCCACCACCGCAGACACCTCAACTTTTACCGGTTCATCCGCCACCGCCACCGGCTGATTTCCTTGTGATTTAGGTGTCCCTCGGGCTGTCCGCCCGCCCCGTTTCGTTGCAGATCCTGTCGGTGTCTTCTTTACAGCTTTCGGAGGCATTGTTTCGGCCGCTAGAATTCCAAGAGAACTCTAAAGATTGGATCTTTAGGAACTTCGAGAAAATTAAGAATGATCTGAAAGATTGAAGAACTTCAATGGTCTATTTACGATATCAGAAAAAAAAATTGAGAGAGAACACACCTCGAATAAGGAGAATTGGGAATTTTGGAACCCTAATTTGCTTTATATATAGTATAGAGAGAGAAAAAAGAAATTCAATAAATAATTTATCATAAATTTGATTATTATTTGTATATTAACTTGAGATCATTAAAAAAAAAAATCTCAAATCTTAAAGTTTGTATCTACACATGATAAATAGTGAGTAAAGGTGATTGATAATAGTATCACGTTGAAGGTTTATGGACGGAGGTGATTAAATTTCAGCTTTAAATTTATATTTGTATATGATAAATATGCGTAGAGGTTGATGGTACTGATTATGTTGAAGGATGCTAGTGGAGGCGATCAAATTTCAATCTTGAATTCGTATCTATACATGATAGATAGTGATAGAGGTGATTGATGATAGTGATTATGTTGAAGGCTGGTGGCAGATGTGATTAAATATCAATCTTGGATTTGTATCAACATATAATAAACAGCAATAGAGGTTGATGATAGTGATTATGTTGAAGATCAATGGTGAAGGTGATTTTCAGTTGCAGCTACTAGCTATGATTTTGACGATCAATTTGAGATGCTAAGATTTGAGCAGAGGGTGAAAATAGTTTGTGGAGGTGTATGGCTAGTGTTGATTTCTAGAACAGTGTAAAAAAACAATTCTCCGATATAAGTTTACTAGTTCATGAGGATACGGTGATGTCTTCTGTCTCCCACTTTCATATATCAAGTAGATATAAACATATATTGCATTGATAAGACATAGAAGATAAAGTGTGAAATTAACTAAATTGTGGATAATAGAGATTACAGTATATCTACTATATCTATCACAATTATGAAAGATACATGTATATGATAGATCTCTGTTATGATAGTTTCACATTAGATCCATTATCTCTGTTACAATTATGAAATCTTTATTATGATAGTTTCACATTATATCTATTATCTTTGTCACAATTATAAAAGGTACATGTAATCTTTGTTATGATAATTTCACATTATATCTACTATTTTTACTATAAGTATGAAAGATATATGTAATCTTTGTTATGATAGTTTCACAATGTATTTACTATCTGTACCATAATTATGACAGATACATTTAATCTTTGTTATGATAATTTCACAATGTATTTACTATCTCTACCACAATTATGAAAGATACATGTAATCTTTGATTATGATAAGATTATATAATTAAAATAGTGAATTGTTTAATTACACACAGTATTGACAATCTAGTGTGAGGGTAATTCAGAGCTTGAAGAAAAACCAATAGAAAGTATTAATAATAGTTAACAATTCTTCTAACCTATCAAACTCAACCTCTAAGTTTTAAAAATAAAAGTTAGCACAAATCATCATTATATATAGTATTTTGTCAAAGCAGTTCAACAATAACAATAATAGCATATATAGTATATTAAAATAATTCGTAATTCATAAATAATAGAAATCGCTTAAGTATTTAAAACAAAGTAATTAAGTTAAAATCGTTAGAGGATATTAAAAGATGGCAATGTGAAAAAAATTCTCTTGAAGTGTTTTATTATAAGTTTAATTATTTTTGTATATTAACTTGAGATCATAAAAAAAATTAATAAATCTCAAATCTTAATGAAATTTTTATCTACATGTGATAAATGGTAGGTAAAGGTTATAGATGATAGAATGAAGTTGAAAGTCTATGGGTGGAGGTGATTAAGTTTCAGTCTTAAATTTATATTTGTATAAATAGTCATAGAGGTTGATGGTAACAATTACATTGAAGGCTTTCGGTAGACGTGAATAAATTTCAATCTTGAGTTCATATCTATACATTATAAATAGTGATAAAGGTGATTGATGGTAGCGCTTATGTTGAAGGCTGGTGGCAGATGTGATTAAATATCAATCTTGGATTTGTATCAACATATAATAAACAGCAATAGAGGTTGATGATAGTGATTATGTTGAAGATCAATGGTGAAGGTGATTTTCAGTTGCAGCTACTAGCTATGATTTTGATGGTCAGTTTGAGATGTTGGGTTATTAGGAAATGACGCTTGTAAAAGGGTGGTGATAATTTGTGGAGGTGATGATAGCCAGTGTTGATTATTGAGGCGGTTTAAATAGTAATCCTTCGTTATAAGTCTATTAGTCCATTATGATACAAGGTGAGGCCTCTCGTCTTCCTTCTTCATATATCTAGATAAACATGTATTGCATTGATGAGAGATAGTAGATACATTATGAAATTAACTAAATTGTGGATAATAGAGATTATAATATATCTACCACAATAATGAAAGATACATGTATATCTTTGTTATGATAGTTTCATAGTATATCTACTATCTTTGAAAGATACATGTAATCTTTGTTATGATAATTTCACATTACATATCTATTATTTTTATCATAATTATATGAAAGATACATGTAATCTCGATTATGACAATTTTACAGTATATTTACTATTTCTACCACAATATAATTATGAAAGATACACGTAATCTTTGTTTATGATAAGATGATTTAATTTAAATAGTGGATGGTTTGATGACGCACACTTATGATAATCTAGTGTGAGAGTAATTTGGAACTTGAAGAAAATCGAATACGAAGTGTTAATCATAGTTTAACAATTCTTCTCACCTATCAAACTCATCTTATAATTTTTAAAAAATAAAAATTAGCACGCATCATCATTATAAATAGCGTCTTATCAAAGCAGTTCAGCAATAACAATAAAGCATGTATTGAAGCAATTCGTAATTCATAAATAATAAAAAACCGCTTAAGTATTTAAAACAAAGTTAAAACCATTAGAGAAGATTCAACAGATAGTAATGTAAGTTAGATTTATTTTCATAAAATTTCTTGAACATAACTCTTAAAACGTCTTAGTATACTCTACGTGTTCACCTTTATCTATTTCTGTTCTAAATAATGAACCGCTAGACTATGATTCTATTCCTCTCTAGCTCAAAGTGGGCTTCCGTACATGCCATGAATTGTTACAAGAAATATGCTTAGACCATTTGAACCTATTTTTACCAGCAGCAACATGACCCTCCTTGAATCTCTTCCAATCCACTAATACATTCTTCAAATCAGCCACTTTAGCTTCAATGGTCCGGCAACAATTAGCGTGAACGGTCATAACTAACGTGACGTCTTTATTATTGCTACAGAAACCACCAAAACGAAGGGTGTCCAAGAATTTCATTCTAAGATGGAGTTCCTTATTCACGCCTTCGCGTAACATTTTGGCTAACACGTCTTGTTCTTTCATGCCCTTTGAGTTCCTCCTCATCGCGTACCATATTTCGAATAATGTGATGGTTTTTCTGTTGGACCTCACATAGTAAAACCCTGTATTGATGGAATTTGAGTAGGAGAAAGAGTCTCCATTGAACCTATCAGTACTCATTTGTAAATCCAAATTTTTGGTCTTGTTTAGCAATAAAAATGGATTTCTTAGCCACATTATATCTGTGTCCTGCCAAAATTGCAAAAAATTAGCTATACTTATAATGGGCCTTAGGTAAGTCATCTATAAATGGGCTTTTAGTAGATAAGAAGGATCAGGCCCAATAATCCCATTAGAATGGTGTGGGTCCAAAAGGATGAAAATTAAAAATTAGATATGCAAATATTTTTGCGTAAAATACATGGTTTTAATATGAAATTATAATATATCCCTAATAAGTTTTCAATTATATTAATCCCTTAAAAATTAAAAAAATTGAATACAATAATTAAAGCTCGGATACATTAAATACTGTCTCGAATACACCAAAAACTAGCTCGGATACATAATATGTAACTCATATACGTTAATACATTAATATGCAGCTCGAATACATTAAAGAAATAAGAAATTTAGGAGATTTTTAAAAATAACAGGGGAGAATGAAAATAAGTTAAATAAAATATATGTATTTCTATAATTTATTCAATATTATATATTTTTTTTTTGACGAACGTTAAAGCTCGACTATTTCAAAGTCATGCCGCATAGGGCCCATCTAGAAAATATATACCCCTACCCAAAAATTTCTATATTCAAGACCTCAATCAAAAATCTTTTTCAAAAAAAAAGAAAATTTTGTCTCTTACATGTGAAAGGTTAAAGAAAGCGCAAGTACACTTCTTAAGTGCTAACACGTGTCTCTTAATTTTAGTTTTTTTTTTAACTTCCAATTTTAACTATATTAATTTTGAATGAACTAGTTTGATTTGACACAAAATTTAAAAAAATAAAGAAAAGTTTTAAAATCTTGTATTTTTAAATTAAAGTTATATAAATATATAAAATTATCTTTTAATTTTATAGCGTTAAACATATCATATCAAAAGCCAAAATTAAAATATTACGAAAAAACAAGCATCATTCTAAACCAAATTTTTTTTTCCAAATATCTATAAATTTCGCTGAGCTAAGACAAGTAGAACACATTGTACGTTAATTACTTCATCTAAAACGGAAAATCTTAACCGTCACTTTACATGACATGTTTTCAACATGTTTATATAAAATATATTAACCAGCCACACTATTATTTTTAACTTAGGTAAACAAATTAAAATTAGATAAATAAAATTAAAATAAAAATAATTGGAAAAAAAGTGAACGTACCGTAAATATGAAATTATAACCAAGTTTAAGCACCTCCATCAAAAACCGTGTCCTTCTCCACATCATTTTAATAAACTCCTCCGACATATAAATCTTCTCTCCGGCGAAATCTCCGTCACCGGTGACTAACCGGTAACAATGAAGTCGCCGGAACTTACACCGTTCATACGCCGTCTGATCCACAGCTACGACTAGTAAATGTTCCAATAATACCCTTGTACTCTCTCCTTCCCAAAATCCCTCCAAAAATAGATCGAACATCGATGGATACTCGCCGTTATACAGCTCCACGTAAGCTTTGTTTATCACTGTAATAATTACTGTTTTTTCCGCCATTGATGCTCTTTTTAAAGCTTCTTCAAGCTCATATTTCTCCATCCCCTGTTTTAACCCAAAAAAAAATTAAACATTTACATAATTAGGGTAAAGAAAATTATTGCTAATGATACTTACAGTTTGAGAATTTGTTGGGTTAATTTGTAAAGAGAAGAAAGTTTTAGGGGGAAAAGTAGATAAAGTGGAAATATATATAAATCCAATTAAAAGGAGAAAAATAATTGCAATAGTAGAAATGGAGTTCTTAGTGTAATCCATTTTTATTTTTAGTTTAATGGATTTTTGAATCTTCACCAAAAAGTGTTCCTATGTTTTTGGGTTTTTTTTGGCCTTTTGGGTTTTTGACGTAAGGAGATTTGGGGTGTGGGGTAGGTAGGGAAGTTTTTTCTTCTTTTTTGGCTTTAGGAAGGTCACGTAAACAACCTCTATGTATATATAGAGTAATATTCGTGCATTTTCTCCGTCTTATTTTATGTGATATTTTTCGTATTTTGATATTTAAATAAGTTTATTTTTAATCATAAGTTTTTTTATAGATTATTGAGACTTATAGTACTCTTTACGTAGTTTACAAATATAAATTTCATTTTAAAGAAAATAAAATTTTCATAATGTTCGATCAAAATTAAACTGTTTGACTCTCGAAAAATAAAAAGTTTCACATAAAATATGACAGAAAGAGTATATTTTATTATTTTTAGATTTCATTTTACGAGATTATTTGAATATGTTATTAATGTTGTTGTTAGGGTTAGGCAAGTTATGTAAATAACTTTTTTATTTATAGAATAACAATATTTGTGTAGATTGTATTTTTTTGAATTTTATTTTATGAGATTATATAGATTGTCGAGAAGGTCGTGTAAATAATTTTTTTCATATTTAAGTAGTAAAATTTATGTAGTATTTTATTTTTTTGGAATTTTAGTTTGTTTATGAGATTGTACAAATATATCATTTTTATTCTCGAAGATAGTAAGGTTCCTTTTATATTTAAATGGTAAAATTTATATGTGTTCTTCGAATTTCATTTTATGAGATCGTATAAATATGTCAATATTTATTATACTTCAACAAAGGCTAAGCGATGAAAACAAAATGGGGAGGGCATGTACTGTAAAATAACTATAGATGCTAATAAAATATATAATATATGGATATAAACATATTAATTTGTATAATATATTATAATATAATTATTTTGATAGACCACTGTATATTAGGATTAGAATAAAAGGAAAATATTGAAAAGTTGTTCGTTGTTAGGCATTTTCAACATGATTTTTTTTTTCATGCTAAGTTGGTAAATTCTTTGATGGTCCTAAGACCATATTCAACCCTACTCTACTTTGATTCTCTATTCTCTATATTAAATAGGGTTGTGTAAAATTGAATCGATCAATAAATCAAACTGAAAAAATAATAATAGTACTTTACCTATTTTAAATTAGGTTTGCAATTGTAATTATTTGATTTTAGTTTTAATTTTAAGTTTTGTTGGACTATTTAATTTAAGTTTTAGTTTTTGTAATTATAGGTTGTAATCTTTGTAAGTTTGTAAAGGTATGTGTAATTTGATTAACATATGAAATTTCATTTTATATTTTGATGGACATGACATGTTATTATTGCTTTTGAACTATATTTTTTCGTATTGATGCAATTTTTCATTATCATTTTAGTTTCACTGTATCAAAGCATTTAGAGAAGTGCAAAATCAATATAATATTTTATAGACATTTTTTTTATTGGGTAAACTAAAAATCGAACAGATAAGGATAAAAAATCGACAAATCGAAAATTGATATAAAATATCTTATTGATATGTTATTGGTTTAGCATATTTGAAAACTAAAAACCAATAAATCGAATCGGTAAACATAAAACCGAATCGAACCGACAGATGCACCCCCCTAAATTATTTGGAGAGTAAAATGGAGAATTGAGTTGTCAACTGCTTTCTAAAAGAAGCTCTCTATTCTCTATTTATCGAAAGGTGAATAGTAGTTCTCCAACACTTGGTACTATTCTTTCACTTTCTCAATATTTTAATATTATTTTTATTATTTATAACTACCACATTAATTTTATATAAAGCTATTAATTAAATTTCTAATATTCGTATTTCATTTTAAACATAACATAATGTTCTTTAAGAATGTATTATTTAATATATACTATTTTCATCTCGAATTAATAATATTTTTAATAAATTTTTTCAATTTTCATTATTTTAAGAGATAATTTGATATTATTAATGATTTTCACTATAAAAATGCATAAAATTTAAATGACAAAATGAAAACTTTAATTAAAAAATACGCTACGTTACATAATAAGATAGACAATATAATATCTCTTACCTAAGTCGAATAAGTGAAGATGCATTAGACTTTTACACATTGATTTGTCGAACTTTCATTTGTCCATTTGCTGATCTCAATTAATTTTGTGTGCTATTAGCCTACTTCTAAACCTTATGGTTAATAAAATTAGAGCATTAAATTTGAAAACTTAGAGGTCCACCTAATTGAGTTTATGTTGGACTTATTACTAATTTTAAAGTATAAAATATCCTTCTTATTTACTCTTCATTATTTAAAATAATTGATTTATTTTTTAAAAATAATCATGTTCACCTGTATTCTCACTTTAATAAATGCAAAAGACATTAATATATATTGAAAAGAATAACAGACAAAAATTCATCTGGTTTGAGTTTGTGTAAATTAAATTATAGATTTGCTTTAGTAAAGCGAGTTTTGATTTTTGAATATATATATGTAAATTCATGAACTATAGTTTTGCTTTTCACCCAAAAATAAATTTAATCATGAAACAATATAATAATATATTTGTCGTAATTTCACAAAAAAAATCTACAAATGAAATGTGTTTACATATTTTATTCATATATTTGTGAATACATAGAAAGTATTTTCGTAAAACCTCGATAAACTACATAAAATATATCAAAACAGATTTGGAAAAAAAAAATACAGTAATAAACAAGTCATTTTGAAAATAATGCAAAAAGGAACATTATCAACAAATGGTAACTAAAAAGAGAAAACATGTAATGATAAAGGTGTAGGGGAACAATAATAATAATACCACCAAGGAAAGGAAATTATACACTTCTAATATTTACTTAACATTCTATTCTAATTTTCAATCTCCAAATCCTTCTATCTAGAGTTATATGTCCTTACTCCTCAGTCTTCTACAAAGTATACGTACGACACTTGATAATTTAATCACGTTTTTGCGCCACTTGCTTATGATATTTGATATGTCAAGTCAGCCTAAAACTTTAGAAATCACTAAGAGAATGGTAGAAATAACACAAGAGGATTGCTATGGAGGATTGTATTGTAGAGAACTTTGATTTCTTGCTTGATGAATTTACAATGGATGCTCGCCTCTCTATGAACTACTAACGGCTAATATACGTTTTTACATATTTTTCATTTAGGTCTCTTCTCTAAAACTCTCTGCATGTCTAGAATATTCTAAGGATCTTCTATGCAATTTTACATTTTCCCATGAAAAATCTCCATATTTTTCTACAATTATCCACAAGGATTACTCTTTTACATCAAGGACAATTTCAATAAGCTAGTATACATTTTAACCAGTTCCTCTTTTTTTCAATAATTGTTCTTACCCTTATCATTTACTACTAATTCAAAATCATTTTTCATGTTCATTAAAGACAATACACCAACATTAATATGAATATGCACTTTGTTTACTATTCTTTAAGAGATGCAAAGTTTATTGTGGACGAGTAAAAGTGAACGACGGGAGTATTACATAGCCCTACTCTCACCCTTCCCAGCTATCACATGCCATTTACCAAAATGATTTAGGAGGGACTTTACATTGAAAAGCTTCTTCTGTAGGCTAGAGAAAACAATTTTAAGTCTTGAATATTCTGAGAGATTATGTCAAGAATATTTCCATCTACAGAAACCAAAACAACACATGCAATGCAGATCATTGCATATAAAAATACAGCATATTCTGTCTACATCAATGCCACCACATTGACTAACAAACAACTTCCCACTTTTTTTCCATCATATAAAACCATGTACAAGCAGCCAGCAATAAACTCAACAAGCACATCACACATACTATGAAATGAGAAAACTGGCATTTTTACTAAAGCAAAATAGGGAGAAAAGAAAAGAGAAAGTTTTAAATCTACGGATAGCGTGGCTAAACATCTCACCAAAATGGAAAAAGATTAATGTACAAACGTCTCTCTTCCAGCGACTTAGATCAAAGTATCCAGCAGGCTTTGTGTTTCCTTTTCTGTTTTTTGGTCTTTGGAGGCTGAAGAACTACCTTGATTGCAGTATCAAAAACAGCCTTCACATTCTACATTACAAAGAATATTTTTTTTAATTGGCTTCGGTTCGTATATAATCGTAAAATGAACAAGTTGCATTCATCTAAATTATTTGCTTGTTTGGGAAGTGCACCTAGAATTGGTCATCATGTTTCACGTACTAAATCTTTTTAAGTTCCAATGATACTAAAAGTTTCAAATATTACCTGCTGCGTCTTAGCACTGCACTCAACATAAGCCACTGCGCCTATTTGTTTTTTCAGTTCTTCACCCTGTAGTTTTAAAGAGAAGTAAAAACTCAACAAATTTTGTAATGTGCGAAAGAGTGTTTGAAAATGAAAACTTGACTGAATTTTCCTTTCTACGTCATTTGATAATCTATTGACTTAATTTATCATGTTTTTTTTTTCAAACTTGACATGTCTCACTAACATCCAATGCCTTGACCTTGAAAACACACTTTCTTTAACCTTTACAAAGACTGAGCACAGTCGATCCCCAGATGCTTTCATTCTGAGGTTGAGGTTGTAGGCTCCATGTGTCTGTGTGTACACTTCAGCAATATGCAGAAGAAGCTATGCAGATTGTTTTTAATTTTTCAACCAAAAAAGAAGTTCAAATTATCCCATTTTGGTTCTTGGATGAGCTAGCTCGGAAATGGCTTATTGCCCCTTCTAAAAGAATTCTTGAGCTGGACATTATGATAAAACTATCAAGATTGTATTTAGTCTAAAAGTTCCTTAGCATATTATTAGGACTACTTCATGTTTTCCTTTTCTTTTGGGACATAAATCTTACTTTATGTTCTCCTTTTCATTTTCCTTTCTTTGTAAGAAGGTGGCCCATGCAACACATTTTTGGATAAGCTACATTGAACTTTTGAAAAATTTAATACATATACCTCTTTTTCAAAATATACATACCTGTTCTGTTGAAATTGTACATGCACCAGGATAGTCCCTTATAAATTGCTTGTCCTCTCTTAAATCTGTGTATTTGAACTTCGGTTAGATACAAACTTAGAAATAAAGAGTGATAGATAAGCTCAGTTTCATTCTCTGCATCAACCAGTTCATTGGCCCCATATAATAGAAGATTATATAAAAGTAAACATGTAACATACACTGCTATGTCTTTTTTTTTTCCTTCGCTTAAAAAATACATTGCTGAACAAATTGATTAACTATCCATTGTCAAACAATCACTTGTTAAACACAACAAGATCATGTTACAAGTTTCCGCAGTTCACAATTGTTGGTTTCTATATAGTCTTATCCAAAGAATGGTGAAGTATATGTACCCCAAGAATAAAAGATAGAGAACCTATGTTTGAAGAAGAGTCTTCGTTCGAAGTGTAGGGAGAGTGGGAGTATTGAATCAGTTCGCTCGGCTTTGAACACTAAGTGGTGAGAAAGAACATAAATGAAACTAAAGAAACAAAT